CATCTATTGAGCTGAATCTGGACATTACTTTGCGATTGGGACATTTGGTTTCCATCGTTTACATTGATAGCTGGTGATTCTGCATTGCATGGTTATTTGCTGATTTCATCGAAACTCTTCGTATTGATTTTGCTGGAGATTGTGTGATGTAGAGCAGAACTTTCTGCTCTCCATCGTTTCAAGATGCTGGAACTCTGTTTTAGCTGAACGAGACGTTTTGGAGAACGAACATGAGGTCTGAGGAAGTTTTGTCAACCAGAAGAACATTGTACAGAACATTTGTAATCATCTACTTCGTTCTTGAGTGTAAAGAACTCTGGTTATTCAAGTTTGGATGAGAACTGGATTATTTGAGAACTTTTGGAAGTAGATCAAGCTTTAGTAGCTAGCTGAATTTGTGACTCAACGCAGTTTGGACTTGTTCAGTCGACCTTTTAGGGAAGGTCGTGGTTTTTGGACCTGGAATTGCGTTTCCTCACCAGACATTGGCTCGAGGGAGTTGTGTCAATATGTTCAGAATTGAACAGAACTGAGTATCACAATCAGCAGATTAGCACGAACGCTTTTTGGTTTGCCTCTTTCGGGTGTGCCTTGCTTGAGAGCTTGCCTCCCTTGTGTTGCGTCCGAGCAAAAGACCGAAGCTGGCGTTTGCACTTAGGAGTCGAGGTAGAAACTCCGTGTTTAGGTTTTCGAGGTTCTGAATTCCGGAACCCGGAACTTGGGTTTGTTCTAGGTGGACTAGATTTTATCATGGTAGCGGAGCCCTGCGGGGCTACCCACACCATAGTACGCTGACCCACTTGCTAAGGAGGGCAACTCCGGCACGATTCTGGTATAGACCTGCCAGTGGCTTGTTCGGTGGCTGGCCAGCATCGACGAGGCTGGTAGGGTGGTCCGGGAGTGTAGGAGGTTGTCACTAGCGGGAGAAGTGGTGTAGGTACTGTGGTTGAGCTGAAAGATCTAGGGATCTTGTTTTGGAAAGAAGGACCTTGTGAGTTTGTTTTGGCATCTGCAGCTTGGAGGTGCGCTAGTGGTTGCATCTAGGTTGAATCATTGTCAGTGGAAGAGGCACCGCTGTTGACCGAGGAAGACGTACTCAGGTGGAATGGCTGAAGGTGCAGGTTGACTGCAATGGTTGCTTTGGATGGCCACAATAACGGCAGAGGGCCATGAATTTTCTGTGAGTGTGTGCCAAGGTTTTGGCTGGATTGAGATGTTGTTTACTCGTTAGGCTAGGCCGTCCGACTGTAGGCATACCACGACTAGATTGCAGTTGTTAGAGTTGTCCTGGAGGAAGACGTACTCAGGAGCAACGATCTTTCAGGCTGGTCCAGGTGGGAGATGCAGTTGGGACGAGTGGTTTTTCGCCCGACATTCATGGCAAGGACTGCCCGACGTACTGTGGAGTCTTGCATGTTTGAGGTTGGACGCTAGGGAGCAGACCTAGATTGTAAAGTTTTGGACTCATCAGGCTAGGCCGTCCGGCTGTAGGCAGGCCACGACTAGACTGCAGAAGTTAGAGTTGTCCTGGAAGAGGATCACGTACTGAGGAGCAATGATCTGTCAGGCTGGTCTAGGTGGAAGATGCAGTTGGGATGAGCGTTTTCTTTGTGTTTTGTGATAGTGATTTCGCCCGACAGTCAGGACATGGACTGCCCGACGTACCGTGGGGTCATGTGTGATTGGGGTCGGACGCTGGGGAGTAGACCCGGACATGGATAGTGATTTCGCCCGACAGTCAGGACATGGACTGCCCGACGTACCGTGTGGTCATGTGTGCAAACCGGTTGATGTTTCCACCAAGATTCTCACAACTTGAATTTTGTTTACAGATGGAGCATGCGAAAATGTGGCATCAGTGGGTGGAGTTTTGATTTGCCCGATGGGGCGAGCTGTCGCGATGTTTGGAGACAAATTGCCAATTGAATTCGAAAGATTTTTCTATCGAGAATCTTCGCATCCCATCTACGGAGTCGAATTGTTGCCTTTGCTTATTTCAATCATGCTGTGGGGCTCCCTTGTAGACAAAGCTCAGTTTGTCTGCTATCTGAACTCGATGCAGCCAGAGCAGGGCTCATCCGAGGGTCCGGAGCCACCAAGCTTGCTGATGGGATCATTAAATTGTTTTGCGAGTTTGAAGCCGTGTTGCAACTGAAGTCGTGGTTTAGCAGAGTGCCATCACACAGCAACATAAGTGATGGGCTGAGCCGTTTAGATTTCAGGCTATTGCTATCACTTGGTTGCCTCAAGGTAGACGTGCCTTGGGGTGAGATCGTGTCAAAGGTTTCGTCACGCCTGTCTTGAATGGGGCGATGGATGGCGGGGCGTGGACGGATGCTCCCCATTTGCTGTGTTGAAAAAGATTGGCCCTGCGTTCGACTTCAGCTGACACAATCGTTTCAATTTTCAAAAGTTGTTTTCGTTTTGGTTGTTAAGTTTTCGCGTCGGACTTCTAGTTCTTAGGATGTTTGCGAAGCGGTTCAATCTATGGAAATAAGTTTTACTCCCGTAGGGATGAAAACCTTATTTCCAATTTTTGAAAACTCGACTCTTTGTTTGAAAAACAAGAGTTAGCTGTGGCAAGCGTCTTGAACTGGCAACTGCGTGAAAAACAACAACTCACAAAACAAATTTTGAAACCACAATTTTCAGACAACTAAACTCAATCCCGAGATGAGTCAGTTGTAATTTTATGTTGCATGTGCAACATTATGGCTTAAGGGTGTGGTGGGAGGGTTCCTCCTGTTGTTTTGTTCTACATGGTAGCAAAACTCCCACCCTTCTTTTTCCCAACCCTTTTGCCAATTTTTATCCTCACCTCATACATATATGAGGCCACACCCTCAGCCCTGATGGCGGGGCGTGGACGGATGCTCCCCATTTGCTGTGTTGAAAAAGATTGGCCCTGCCTTCGACTTCAGCTGACACAATCGTTTCAATTTTCAAAAGTAGTTTTCGTTTTGGTTGTTAAGTTTTCCCGTAGGACTACTAGTTCTTAGGATGTTTGCGAAGCGGTTCAATCTTTGGAAATAAGATACCGCGCTCGACGCCGAAGAGAAAAAACCTCTAACCAAGGCACACAACATTGCATATAGTCTTTTCCCAAATGTGCACCGTGACAGATATAGAAGATGTTCTCGAATGGGACATGTTGAACATGTTTCGGTTTGTCTGCTAAAGCTGCCGTTGATATTGATTGCCACGCTGTTATGTTTTGCCAGCTCACCAACGAGTCATGAGTCACTGCATACTGCATCGTTAGTTGCCCATGCGTGTTGTTGCTGTCTGACTTGCCTGACCTGCCAGGTACCTCTGCGAAGCTCGTTCACCAACCTCCTGCATTCGCCAAGCGCCTATCGTCGCTGCTACCGGCCCTATGGTGTATGCGAGTAGATTAACGCGCCGTGCAAAAATCTCTCGTCGCTGCTACCAGGCTTGCGGTGCAAGCGAGGCAATTCGCCAAACGCCTGCAGCAGACCGTCCGCTCTCATGACGGTCTGCGCTCTGCGCGCACTGCTTGGCCACATTGCGCATGGTGCCAAGACCGGCCGTTGCCATTCACCTATACACATGGTGTTGGCATACTGGTTTTGGCTACCTACATACATACATACATAAATACATACATACGTGCATACATACACACATACATACATACGTACATGCATGCATGCATGCATACACACACACATACATACATACATTTACATTTACATTTTTACATTTACATTTGCATTTACATTGCATTACATTACATCACATTACATACCATCTTCGTCACACACCATCTTTCTTTGTCACACACCATCTTTCACATACAACTTTGTCCCACACAACGTTTTACCCACATCTTTGTGTGGGGTTCTTGTTTTTGGTTGGGCACTCCCGCGCTCATTCCTTCCTCCTTCCTCCCGCCGCCTCCCCTCCCGCCGCCTCACACGCAACTTCCTCACACGCCACTTGCTCACACACAACTTGTCCACACACAACTTGGCCACACACACAGCTTACTTCCACTGACAACTTCCCCACACACAACTTGTCCACACACAACTTCTCCGCACACAACTTACTCACACACACAACTTCCTCACAGACAACTTACCCTCACACACCTTCCTCACACTGGGGGGGTAGCACCTTGTAGTAATTCGATGTAATTTTCCCATAACTTGTTGTGGTACCTAGAATTGATCCTACTACCTTTGGACATCCAGGATTTTTCACCACACTATCTTTCACACACAACTTTGTCACACACCATCTTTCTTTGTCACACACCATTTTTCACATACAACTTTGTCCCACGCAACTTTTCTTACTTCTCGATCCTTCAGCACTTCCTTGTCTTTCCTTCCTTCCCCGTCCCGCTACAACATTTGTTGCTAATTATTGGAAAAAATTGACATGTCGGGTTTTCCGGTCCTTTAATTTGTTTTTTTTACCTCTTGGTTTAACTTATTTTCTTTGAATCGTTGAGGTAGGTCCCCAAAATTCATTGTTGGCATTTTTTTTTGTATGACACCAACTCGACAACGTGTCCAAAACCATGCGTTCGCATTTTGTTAAACGATTCATACGCACATCGTTATTAATATTCACACCACGTTACATGGTTCGGTCCCCAAAAGTGGCCACGACACAAAATAGATGTTGTATACAGGGATGGTGCAACCCATATGTGATTTTTTTTTGCCATGGCTGATACTTCTCGGATTTTATTCAAACATAACCAATCCGCATTTTTCCACCCGGCAGTAAACGGCATTCGTGCTTGACTTTCCGCTTCGTTGCATGAGGTTCAAACCATTAAATGGTTGCGTCGTGCAATTAAAAACACAGGTGCATTTTGAGATGCATGATGTAACACAATATGTTGCATTCCCCAAACAGTTGTGTGTTGAAACACAAATCACTCAAAATCACTCAAAAAAATGAACAAATACTGTTTTTTGCATAGCAAACTGCATTTTTTGTGCGCAAAATCCTTGGTGTCATGTCGTTTTGACCAACCAATGTGGCCGTTGCTGCGGATCCCATCCTGCGTTCGCGTTCGCGGCCCCAAAAATTTGCGGCGCTTTGCCACGTCAAACAAGCAGGTGCTGCACCAGTGCTGGTGTTTGCCATTACAAATCCAAGTGAGGCACTTAGAAATGGTAACAAAATTTGACCAGAATCACATTTTTAAATACATGGTCACATGGTGCTTGGGGGTAAATAATCCCATCAACCATGACGCATAATCCTGTTTTTTTTCCAATGCAATTCTCGTGAAATTTTGCACATGTACTATGGAATTGAGTCTTTAGCCATCCTTTGATCACCCCAAAACTCTGGTTTCCCAGCAAAACTGACGTTTGACCCAGAACCGTGGACTTGCAATTCTATGAAACCACCTTTGTGTTTGGATTTATCCCAACCAATCAATTGGGTGAAACTCGCAGGCAGCCGAAAAACGCCGCGTCAAGGACCCTTTTTTTCCCCAGTGGCAGATGGAAAAGACAGGGCACAAACTGGTACGTTTGAAACTTTGGAGGTTAGATTTCCTAGCCCCTGCATTTTTGACAACAAACGAACATAAAATTAAGGTTTGGAATGCCCCAGAACTTAGTGGTTGATCATCATTTCGTGTTTGAACCTTGTGAATTTTTTTTCGGATACGCCACTTTGGTAAACACCCTTAAACGTATTAAACCGGCCCCAATGTACTTTTCCACGAAATGACACCGTTGGTTTTGGACAAAATTGGGAAAGGTCTCGGATTCGACTCATTTGTCAAATTTGAAGGATAGAACTGGCGCTTGAAATTTGCTGTCCATGCTTGCTACTTGTTGTTTCAACTAACCATGGTCCGTGGCTTGATCCTCTTACTTCAAGTCATTTCAACTCCAATACAAGATCGAATTTCTTTGCCATTTTGCTGGTCAGATCCTTCTGATCAGTGGTTAATTGTGCTTGAAAAAAATCGTGGAAAATGTCTTAGAATAACTCAATTTGTCAATGACTGCATACCATCTGATGGTGGAGAGCCTGATTTTACAATATTTTGAGGGATGAACTGATGAACATCCATAAATCCCAGCTATGAAATGGTGAAATGGTGTGAATGAACAACTATAGTTTCTCCCAAAAAAGTTATGGTTTGGGTTTCGCCTTTCCGAATTTCCCGTGTTCCAGGAGGCTGACCGGAGGGCCACTTGGAGATTGGAAGAATGATGATGATGATGATGATGATTCATTAGAAGTGGGTCAGACCCAAATCAGGCACTGAACCCACATTCTTTTTGGGGACCAAGTGGGGGGATCAACTTAGGTTTGAGGACTTGGACATGAGCGGAAGGGTGAGTATAGAAGAGTGGACCAACACAAAACATGGATAAACAACTTTACAGCAGTTGAAGTCAACATCTTTTTGGAATTCGTAACCATTCGTAACCCCTTAGCTTAGCTTGAGAGTTTTGACGTCCAAAGTCATCCCAGTCGTCTCAGCGCCTACGCCAAGGAGAGGCCCTTTGCAGAGCGTGGCTTCCAAAATGCCCGGGACCGGCCGCGCGAGCGATCCTACTTTCCCTTCCAGGCAGAAGCCAGATCTGTAGGGCTCATTTAAAGCCCGGTTTTTTGTGATGTTAGGAATCCATCAAAATGGGGGTTCTACAATTCTAGCCTGCGAAAGACGTGACCGGCTTCGCTGAAGCAAAGCCGCGAGCCGAGTGGATTGCACTTGTGTTTTACCAATCCAGGAAGAGATCTTGGAACTTCCGGGCGGTAGGAAGCAGGCGCTTTTTTTCCATTTTTTTTTTGGAAGCTGCTGGCTTGTGCCCTCAACAAATCATTTGCGATCTCTGTTTATATCGGGAACGGAAAGGATTTCTGACGGTTGAATCATTTGGTTGAAGGTGATTGCAGTCGGAGCTGACAAAGTTGATGAGTTTTTTGTGCTGAATCCCAATCCTGCCATATCCAGCCTCCTTGCAAAGGTGCAAGTGGTTGCATCCAAACGAGATGTAGATGGATATTTGGAGGCCTTCTACACTGCCACTTGCTTATTCGCAAACATTTTGGGGCTGAAAATATGAATCACCTGATAGCTGCCACACAGCTAGTGCACTAGTGGTTGCTTGCCGTGATGCACAATATGCATGTGTTTGTGGCACGCTTTATCCTCTGCCTGTGTGCTGAGGCTCTGGTGCCCCATCTTCCTTGCTAGCTTTTGTCACTTCTCCTTCTCTGCAAGTTTTATGAATTGGTTGCCACATGCTGCTGTTTTCTCTCTCTCTCTCTTCAAACTTCAAACATAACATCCAAATACATCCTAACACACAGATTTTGACCTCTTTTGGTATCTGGATCACTTTTGGGGAGTCCAGTTTAGACTACCAAATAGCCGGGCAAACTGATCCACGGCCGTGGGATGACCCAGCCAGGCACAGCTGGTGTTTCAAACTCCCACGGGCAATCGCCTCTTCCATTTGAACCAGGAGGACCTCGAAAACGGAGGGGTCATGACGGTCATACCATCGGAAGTTGGAAATCAACATCCATCATGTCTGAAAATGGTGATTTAATCGGATTTATATAATGGAATTCATGATATATATATTATATGCCGCATACATAACAACTGCAGCTGACCATTTGACTGGCCCTGGTGTAGCCATGACACGCTGGCCCTGCAAGGAGCTTGGGGAGTTAGAGAAGTTGGCGCCCAGGTTGAGCGAGTACCTAGAACTGTACCAGCTGAAGGTGGACGGGAAAATGGGAACGGCAAGCCACGGAATTGGGTTTGCTGAAGAAACCATGGTTTACATCCCAAAATCAGATAAAATCAGGGGGACCCATGGTTGTAACTCAAAAATTCGCGAAATTTTCAGAAATTGGGACTTCGCCAACAGAACATGGCCGCAATTTTCTGGCTTTTCCCATTGCCAGGCCCAGGAGGCAGCTGAGGGTCAGGCGGAGGAGGATCTTTCCAAGGCCCTGGAGGGAGCGCAGGTCCAGCGTTTGAGCGAATGAAAAACCATCGTTGGCCCATGGGCCCATGTGAAAAGCTATGGTTTGGAAAGTGGAAATGGTACTTGAAACCACCTAGAAACCAACAAAAAGTCAACCCACATTTTTTAATAATGGATGGATTTGTCTTTGATGTTGTTGTTTTTCTTGTTTTTTTGTTGGGACAATTTTTTTGACATCCCTATTTCTGAAAACAGACGTGCGCGCAACAGTTTCACATTGATGTTTGCGGCGGATTGTGAGATCCGACAAAGACCCAACCAAGCTGGTTGTCTACAGGCACCGCCTGTAATGTTTTTGCGATTCATATCATTTATATCATGGATGTCCGTTTCTAGAGTCGATTTTCCAATTACATATAGGAATTTTCAGCCATGGTTGACTCCTGGAGGGTAGAATCTGAGAAACCAGCAGTGCAGTCGACCAGCGCCTTGCGCTACTGAGAAAAAAAAGATCGCGAGGCTGCGGGGTTGACTTTTCATATGGACCTTTCCCAAAATTGGGTACCCCCAAATCATCAATTTTCATAGGATTTTCATAGAATTTTTCATTATAAACCAACCATTTGGAGGGATTCCTCCATTGAAACCCCGACGTTCACGGATTGTCCACTGGGACCATCAGGCGCTCTGGCTCTGCCAACAAGAAAAGTGACAAAAGAACGAGTTCCCATGTGCCAACAAAAACAACAACCTCAGATGATCCGGGACATTCTCCTGATTTTCTGAAGATTTCACCGGATAGGCTTTCCCTCACGCTACGAAGCGCACGCTATCTTAGCGATGCTCGCTGTCTCCGTTTGGCATTTTTGCCTGGTGCTGGCAGCAGCCGCAGCCTGCAGTGGAAGTTGCGAAGATGGTGAGACCAGCTTGGTGCAGGTTGGATCGTGACCTGTGGAAAGTCTGAAATATCCCAAAAATGAAAAAAGAGTCAGAAGGTCAATGAAGGTGATGGGTTTCTCATTTTTTTCTGAATTTGGTAACGAAATGAAGATGACAAGGTGTGAAAAATCCAGGGTGCCAATCGCCATGATTTGATTTTTTGGTGCAATTCTTGTCACTGTCCAAGCTGATCAACATTCGATTCTGTCGGAAAAGATATGAAATGATGCGGATCATTGTGCTATTTATGTTTGTGTATGCATATATATTCAAAGGACACACACACACAGACACACATTCGTGTCCGTCCCCAATTGGGGAGGCGGTCGCCCACACCATCAAGAGAAGTTATCAATCCTGCTTTCATATGTATCTCAACAAGAAAATGACCAACCTTTTGTTGATGAACCGTGAATTGCATGGCAGCATTGGTGATCAATCTCTAAGGGCACTTCCAGCTAAGCTGGCACTGTCCGGCGATACCTGAAGCCTCAAAAAAAAATAGGTGGCCACAACCAACGTTGAAGGTACGTGAAATTGGGGTCCCCTTTGCATATCGAAAGAGTGAACAGTGAAAGTCTTCATTGCTGCCAGCTTCACTCAATCCCCTGGCACCCTGTGCGACCTTGACTTGGCCATTCAGCTTTACTGAGCATTAACCGAGCCTACACGTCTGCTTGGAATGTCCCTTAACCTTACACATACACAGAAATACATACATACTTATACATATATATAAATATATATACACAGACATACACAGACACACACAGACATACACACATACACACATACCTACCTACCTACATACCTACATACCTACACACCTACCTACCTACTTACCTACCCACCTACATACGTATGCACGCACGCACACACACGCACGCACAGACAGATTGACAGACAGACAGACAGACAGACATACATGACATTACATTACATTACATTACATTACACACATACATATACATACATATACATACATATACATGCAAATACATACATACACATACATACACATACATACACATACATACACATACATACACATACATACACATACATACACATACATACACATACAAACACATACATACACATACATACACATACATACACATACATACACATACATACACATACATACACATACATACACATACATACACGTACATACACATACATACACATACATACACATACATACACATACATACACATACATACACATACATACACATACATACACATACATATACATACACATACATACACATACATACACATACATACACATACATACATACCTACATACCTACATACATACATACACACATACACACATACACAAACACACATACCTACCTACCTACCTGCATGCATGCATGCATGCATGCATGCATGCATACATACATACATACACACACAGACACACACACAGACACACACATATACATACATATACATACATATACATACATATACATACATATACATACATATACATACATATGCATACATATGCATACATATGCATACATATGCATATATATACATACATATGCATACATATACATACATATACATACATATACATACATATACATACATATACACACATATACACACATATACACACATATACACACATATACGCACATATACATACATATACATACATATACATACATATACTGTACATACATACGCATACATACGCATACATACGCATAAATACGCATAAATACGAATAAATACGCATAAATACGCATAAATACGCATACATACGCATACATACGCATACACATACGCATACACATACACATACGCATACACATACGCATACACATACGCATACACATACGCATACACATACGCATACACATACGCATACACATACGCATACACATACGCATACACATACGCATACACATATGCATACACATACGCATACACATACGCATACACATACATATACAGATACATACACATACATACACAGACACATACACAGACACATACATACACACACATACACACACATACATACACATACATACACATACATACACATACATACACATACATACACAGGCATACACATACATACACATACATACACATACATACACATACATACACATACATACACATACATACACATACATACACATACATACACATACATACACATACATACACATACACATACAGACACATACAGACACATACATACACATACATATACATACACATACATACACATACATACACATACATACACATACATACACATACATACACATACATACACATACATACACATACATACACATACATACACATACATACACATACATACACATACATACACATACATACACATACAAACACATACATACACATACATACACATACATACACATACATACACATACATACACATACATACACATACATACACCTACATACGCATACATACACATACATACACATACATACACAACATACACATACATACACATACATACACATACACATACATGCACATACATAAGTCATACATACACATACATACACATACACATACATACACCTACATACAC